CATTAGTTCCTTTGGTATTGTTTTATATCCTCGCGGCACTTAAATGGATGCTTCGACATGACTTTCTAGTCATTTAATCAAAAACAGGAAAGGAAAAAAACAGAAACTTTCTCTTTTGTGAAGAATAACATTTTACGCTCTTTTTACCATTTCAGTTAATTTATCTTTTAATGGCTTAATTTATCGTTTAATGGCCTGATTTATCTTTTAAAAGCTTGATTTAGCTGTATAATCCTGTATTTTCTCCAATTCATGAATTTCAGACTTTAAAATAGTAAATATTTGAATAAATTATATTACAGTAGACGTCGGCTAATCTGATCACGCTTATCCATGACTATTTTGATACAATAACCGAATGATAACATTAAACGATAAGACAATATTTCCTTCAAACTATGAAGGGACTTTAATTTAATACAACTAGAGACATATTAACACTACTTACGTCCGCAGTAATTTAATTAAGGAAAAGTCATTGATAAATAATTATCTGGAATCATTACGCAAAAGTTCATTTTTGAACTGTTCATAATGTTTCTGGAAATTTGTTTCACAAAGCGACAAGCAGATATCTTCTTCCATCTTTGATGCTGCTGCTTGAATGTTTACATCAATATTGATCCAAGCGTTTAATTCCTCATAATTCATGTTAGTTGGAGACATTTTTAGTTATCCAACTTCCTTTATTTCATTATTTATTAAAAGGTTGGCATATTTAAAATAACTCTTGACTATCTTTTTTGAGGCTCAGTTCCAAATGTAGCCTGAAATTAAAATCATGATTCTTATAGACTTCATTTCTTCTTACTCATTGACATTGTGAACATTTTGATAACATTAACCGAATGGTTGATCACAATAAGTGATATATTTTCCACGTTTTCGTATGCAAACTGGCGGGACTTTGAGAGTTCAGTAGTAATATCCGAATGATAACTTTAACCGTGGTCACATTAAGCGACGTTTACAGTACATTTATTATTTTTCAAAGTTATTCTCTTAATTATTTATTTCCTTTCCTTTCTAAATTACCGTTTTAGGTAAAAATATATAAATCAGTTTCTAATATTAAACTACAGTCGAACCCCGCTATAACGAAGCTGGCTTATAAAGATTAGCGGATATAACGAATGAAACTTTAGGTCCCGTCAAATTTCCTATACAATTTATGCTATTTTATATTGCTACAGGAAACCTCCAGAGGTATAAAAATCGGATATAACGAACTAATAAAGACATCTTCGGTTAAAACATTTTCGTATTTTCTCCAGAATTTCTGCGGGCTTCGATGGAAAAATAATCAATTCTATAAATCGTTTATGTTTAGGATGCTATATTCTAACAGTAAAAGAAAATATCTTTGCATTACTTGTCTTTTATATTAACTTGCACTTTTCTCTGTGTTCTAAGCAAAGACTACGTGAAACTGGAGTGACACACAGTCTAGCAGAGCGAGGACACGATACGCATGTCTTAGGATTTCATATGATTATTTCAAACACTCTAGTTTGCTTAAGCCTTCTCTCATGGACATAGGACACCATATGGCGTTCTTTGCATTTGGTATCTGCAGCGATTGAACCAAAGAAGTGAATGGATTCTCTGAATGAGTTGTCAGACAGAGGTCAATGATGGAAACTTTGAAATTTTCGTTATTCAGTGAAAGAGGAAGTAGGGAATCTTATGTATCTGGGCTGTACATTTGTTTCATGTTTTAGAAAATGAAAATTTTTCATCTTTATCGGTTTGTTTTGTTTGAATATTAATGCATGTCTTCTAAATGGGGATTTTGCATTTTTTATATCTTATGCAAAACCGAATATTCTTTGCAAAAGCTATTGGATCTCTTTGTAAACATACATATCTTAAGTAAAAATGAAAGGTAAATGCATCAATATTTATTTATTTTTACAAATATAATAGCATTGTTTGTATATTTTTCCGGTTAACTTAATGTTAACAGTTTTAAATGTTTAATTGGTCAGGTGTACAGTGGATAACGACCTTGTAGTCCACACTCTAGGGTAAGAAGCTTCACGCTAAACTCGGTGCTTCAGGTTGAACTGGTAGCCTTTAAAGCAGCTCTGGATTTCACTCTTAATAATGGCAATAACAAAGTGATTTGCACAGATTCTCTGTCAACCTCGTAGAATATTCATGACTGTCATCCACTAATTAAAGTAATACAAAAACAGCTGTTATTAATTCCTGGTAGTTTGAGATCAAAATTTCCATATAAAAGGGTACCCGTCCACACTGGGATCTGGATAGTGAAACAGCTAATAAGATTGCGAGAAACGCAGCTAACCGTAAATTCAATGAATGAGCCCCTTATATGTACCTTAAAGCCATACTTGACACTGAACTCTCTAAATGGAAGAACTACTGGAACGTGTTCATTACGGGCGGAAAACTGCACAGAATGTAACCTAAAGACGGCCAGCATTTAATTAGCGGATGTCTTTAGTTTACCAATTACCTAATAGAGCAAGGCCCATGTATCGTTTAGACCTCAATAATGACCTTTGTAGCTTTGATAGCGTCGGTGATGCTGGATACTGTTTATTCGTTTCTTCGTATAGTAAAAAGAATCTTCTATGATCCACATATAAGCATGGGTCAGAGACACCTGTAAAAATAGATATGCGTTTAGTCACAGAGATTGTATTGCCATTGCTAGGAGTATAGCCAACAGCCTGGAATAATTCGCTGTTACAACACTTCCGCCCCCCATGTAGATTTGTATATTCTTATACTAGTTTTCCTTTGTATTGAGTATTTCATTGTGCTTTGAATTCTTGCATTACTGCTTGTACATGTTATAATGTGCTTGTATTACTGTTATATCATACGTGATCTTAAGGATTTTGCAGTTATACAATTATGTACTGCTTTATTGAATGCTTCATCTGCATGGATATACTAATCTTGTTAATACTGTACTAATACAGTGTTTGTTGCATAGATATACAACATGTAAGTAACTTTAAACTTGCTTCTGTATTTGTCTAGAAATGTTTGTGCAAATGTAATTTTTTACATTTCTTTGTTGTGTATTTCATTATAGTTTAACTTCAGTGTGTGTGTATTTTTAATATGCTCATAGTATTCTATAGTCTTGTCACTTTGATATTGTTGGATGCATGCAGTCTTATGCATTTTGGAATGGTATTGGTGTTATATTTATGCAGTCCTGCTGTTGTATAGTGTTGTTTTTGCAATCTGGTTTGTACATATATATTGTGCATTGGTTATTTATTTTGTTCCGTGCACGCAAATAAAGTAATGCATTGGGTTAAGTTATCTGAATTTAAGACATGCCATTCTTCCCTGCAAGACTTCCGGACATTGCATATTTGGTTTGCATCTCAAAGACAGACCAAACAGACATGGCATGAGCGCAAAATATATGACAGTTCGGATGATGGGGCTTTTGGCCGAAAAGTAACTAAACCCAGCCAATAACTGTCCCATGATCGGTGAAAAAGAAAATAAAGAAAATGATATGATAAGATGAGAAGTACGTTCCGTTTCAGGAAGCATACATAGCAAACTTACCAATATCAAAGCGCCAATTTACGTAATTTCGAACACGTGAATGTGATTTAAATGTTTGTACACGAGAGAGACAAGACTTATTCCTTAGAAGAAAAGTATTTGAAATTTTAGATCTATGAAGAATTTCGTACTATTAATAAACTGCGAGATGCAAATTTTAAATGCAAAATAAAAATTAATTTAATTAAAACTAAAAAGAACATCGAATTAAACAAAATTCTTTTTGTCTGTCCCATTAGTGTTTTCTCGAGTGGAAATAAATCACTCTTTTTTATAAACGCATTTCTTCTTCTTCTTTTTTTTTTTTTTTCCTTACAAAATGGTTAGCACAAATGAATCATTTCCACATATTACATTACACCCCTATCATGGAAATCTGTATAAAACACTATAAAATAAGCTAAACATGTATATTCGTTATATCAAATATATATGCGCTTTATACCCATTTAATCACACGAACTCATTTGATTGCAATTATTTGTTTGATTGTAAGAACGATATTTGAAGTTATAAGGTTTTACATTATAAGGTATTCTCTCTCTCCTTTCTTTATGCCTTCGTGGTGTAACAGCATCACACTCGGTTTGTATTCGAGAGGTCCAGGTTCGAGTCCCGGCGAGGGCATTGCTTATTTTTCATGTACTCTTGCTTCAAAAAAAAATCACATAATGACTCTACAACACATTTTGCTAATATCAAATGTGATTAAATCTTTTGTAAAGACTTAGTTTATTGCTTAGTTTAAGAGAATAAGTACAGAATCTTTCGAAGAGGGTAAAATACTCTTTTATTTTAAACTCAACGGGGTGAACAGAAGGCACCTCAGTGGTTACAAGGTCCGCTAGAACTTATGGCGAGAAACTCAAACTACAAATTCAAAACTTAAAGATAAATACCTAATAGACAAAGGCTACGCGGAACAACTTAATCACAAATTTTTTCAACACAAACAACTTAATCACAAAGTTTGCTCTTAACTCACCGTCTGAATTTAGACCATCGGCGAGTAGCAACGCCGAAGACAGGAACTCTTATCTAGAAAGCAAACGTAGTAAAGTGGCCTTCAAATGATAGAGGACGTTCTGACTTAACAATCTCAAACCCTCACTTAAATATATGCGAGCTATTTTGCATTCTGGCGAGAATATGAAAACAGAGAACTCGCAGTAAAGATTCTATACATGAAACAACTCTTATGTAAATTTAATAAACCTCATAAAGTAAGTACCAATAAGAGTCATCAGCCAATGGTGTCTGGTGAATATCCAAACCCTTGTGTTCATAAAGTAATGCATTTGACACTCAGTAATCGTGTATACTTCCCAAATGAGAAATCGAATATATATATATTTATACAGTATGCATAAAATTTTAAATTGTAAAAATATGAGAATTTTGGTAAAGATTTGTGTTAAATTTCTTTTATTATTTTATAGTAACTTCATCAACTGACGTTTACTCTGAATCACCTTGTGAACTTCAAGCAATCTCAGCATACAAAGATAACCAAGGAAACGTATGGGGAATAGGTGACGGTAATCTTTGGTGGTTTAATGCAACTAATCTCTCCTGGTCACTACTTCCTCTTCCAAATGGAACTGCAGCATCCGAGCCATGGAGAGTAGCATGTGGTGATCCAAGAAAATATATCGCCGTTGTCGGTAAGAATGCAACTCTCGTTCTTCATCTACCATGGCAGCACTGGCAGTTTGTCGATACAGATGACGTCAGTTTAGGATATGTTGACAAAGATGCCACGTGGTGTGTATTTGGATTTTTATTTGGAATAGATCCCTTACGGGAAACACTTTATCTCCTCGATCCCGAAGAAGCTCATTGGACAGTAAGACAAGATTTACCCGTTATGGACAATGTAAATTGGTCCACACCTCTAGGATTAGTAAACACCTGGATCGGACTAGATAGTGAGCTGATTCTGGTTGAAAAATTTGGAGATTATAAGCACGTTATGTATACCAATTCATCCGGCATATCATGGGTAGTAATGGCTGAAGATACCCATGCTGGGAAGTGGCCAAATCTTGACCAAAGTGAGTATGGACTTTCTCTTACGTGGAATATGGGCTCAGAGAAGATGTGGTTATGGAAGAATGAAAAAGGAGTAGCCGAGTTATGGTACTTTAGCTATAATACTAGTGAATGGCACAGAGGAAATCGTCATTTTGAAAAGAAATTACCTCATTTGTTAAATGTTTTGACTGCTTGGAATGAAGGTGACAAATACTGTGTTCTGCAGCGTAGCTCTGAGTGTACTGCTCAGTACACTTTAAGTCACAAAAATTGTTGGTCAGAACATGAAATGATCCCAGTTGATGGGGAATTCGATAATGAAGACCCTACGACTCAACTTACGACTATAGTTACAACTGATGTTTCGACACAATCCGAAGGAATCAATGCTAGCCAGAAGTCAACATCCCGGGTAATATCACCACCATCAACTACTAAAGAAACTTCACCATCTTCTGTCAATAGCCGCCATGAAATAATCAGCCTCATTTCCAAACATGCTGCTAAGACTACACGGAGGTCATCGGAAAGATCTAATGATGCAATATCTATTACCCCGGCTCGAAATTCTGTCTGGCATCAGCATACCAGTGTATTTGGATCAGTTATCTTTTTTGGAACTTCACTCACAATATTTGGCTTGGTTGGATTTTTCTGGTGTGTGCGTAAATGTGTACATTTTCCGAAGGAAGCACTTCTCTTGAGAGACCCACCTTCAGTGCGGTACACTGCCATTCCAGATTCCTTGAGTTATGATTCACGAAAACCGACTCCAGCTACTTACACTGTTATTCCAGATTCCATTGCTTAAAACCAAGACATGTCAAAATCATTTTTCTCCAGGAATTTTTCTCATTGGTTGATGTGGTATTAAGAAGACTTTTAACGAACCACCGGAATTTTTTTTCTTTCTGAGCCTTTATGAAATTCCTTACATGCAAAATCTGATCAAATATGTAATACTGGGATACTTTAAGAAAATCTTCGGCAAGCCATTAGAAAACTTATCGTTTGAAACGCGTTGTACCTTCAAAAAGAAGAATGAAGCCCCTTACTGATGTGAGGCAATCTTATATCCACTGTATCATTTTAAAAGCAGATGGTTTTTCCTAATTTCCACTAAATATTTTATTAATACTTCCTGTGAAAATAACTGAGTGGTAATTTTGTTAGCAATTTGTGTTCTTCTTGAAAGATCTTAAGATTAGGTAATGACTGCAACGTCTTTGAACTTTCTGATCACACTGTAAATTAAATTATGTTTTTGTTTTATCATTAAGTCATTAATTCCTACTTACCTTGATAAATAGAAACATAATTTTATATTTGAATACCATTTGATAAAACGAAGTTTAGCTTATTTTACTTTTTATCATTTTACTCATATAAGTCTATTTTGAATTATATATCTAAATATAATATTCCTTCAAAGTCTATATACTAACATCAGTCGGTTAGAATTTGAAATTTAAATTAATTTAATAACTAATAAATTTCAAAATTAAAATTTTTTAATTAGATCTTCCTATATTAACGAAAAAAAAGCATTTTTCAGGTTCTGATTTCTTTTATTTTATATTTTTATCATGCTTTTGGTTTTAATATTTTTTTGTTTATTTTATGCCTTGTATTTATTTTCTGAAGTGTTTTATTAGGTGCTTGTAAATATTCGTTAGACTGTAATTCGTCAGACTGAAATAGACTGAAAAAAAGTATACGTGAATGCTACTGCAAGTTGACTTTTTTTTTTTTATTATTTTTATTTTTACATTTTCATCGACACTTTAATAAATTTGAGATGATATACATTTGCTATCTTGGAATTTAAATACAGCATCTTAACTAATAAAATAACCTCATTTGGTACTTACATGTTATTGCAACCATTTTAGTAGAAGTCGCCAAATTTTCAGAATGTACCAAACTCTGGCAACCATGACCATAACCATATTCTTCCAGCAACCTTCCTCATAACAGTTCTTCAATTAAACAACAGCGCAATATTCGTATACATTCTTTTTTGTTGTATTCCAAATTCCAACAGTTTTTATAAGCAAATCATGATATTTTTTGCCTTAAATTTGATTTTGAAACATCAGCTTGTAGAATTGACCAGCATGGAAGGAACTGCTGTAAAATTTTTGCAGAATTTTTACTAAAACTTTTCGAAACGGAACAACAAGGAAATGCGTTTCCTAGATAGTCGCTGTTGCTGAGGTTTCACGAAGTCGAGTCTCCTCAATTTTCTGACGTATACTTTGGGCACGTATACTGATGTATACGCGAAAATATTAAAGAAATGTCTGAGAAAAATGTAAATGTTTCAGTAAGTGTTATTTTTTAATACATCACGTAATCCTTATTTAATAATTAAAATTTGTGTTTTAAATTGCTAAAGCGCATTTTCTTTACATATATCTGTAATGTTTACCGATGAATATCGATAGTTTGGGAATCTTCCTAAAAAAATACGAAAACCGTCAAACTTGGACCGGAGAAGTAACTTTTACTTTTCTACTGAAAAAAATCGCCAAATTGCGTCAACGTGATTGACTTAATAGGTAAGTATTATCATTTTTACAATAAGTAGAAACCTACCTTTCCCGCTGTATGTTTTCTGACATTAATGACGGCAGTTGCGCTTATGGTGAGCGAATGAAGTTGACAGCGATGGATTATTAGGATTTGCAAGTATTAAATGAATTGAAAAATGAATATATGAATTTTTTATTCTGTTTATTATATAAATGTATTTAAAAGTCTTAAGAATTTTTGCCAGCACCTAATATTTAGAAAAGAGTGTAATTTATGCTTTAATTCAAAGACAAGTCAGAAAGAAATGAAATGAGAAATATTATTTAGTTCTCTTAAAGTGTTTCCTTTGCATTTTACTTTTTCTTGTGTCTAAAATGTTGTGCAAAATTCAAAATATTTTGTATTGCGCTTTAATAACAATTACTCATTGATTTTTTTAATTGGAAAATCGTAGAAGACGTAATGATTAATCAAAACTAATGTGATAATTTAGATGACATAAAATGTGCTGTGTTAGAACTTGCAACCTTCTTCTTTTCATTGACTGATATCAGAATGCTGGGATTACTAATAATATCTACTCATTATGTTAATATGTTGATATCACTAATAGTATTTGGTAAAGATTCAGTTAAAATATAAATGCACAAACTTTACATTGTGAGGAAGAATAATCTTCAGAAAACAGAGTTAAATGATAATTTCAGATCAAAACAAATTATACGTTTTCTTTTCCAGTCCGTATTAATAAACGAGTTATTTAGCCCACGATAAACATTTATATAATATGTACCAATTATCCTGAAATTCGCAAAGTTGTCTTAAAATGGTTTCCGAAATCTCATAAACAATAAAGCTTTAAATCAATTAATTCTTATGCTTTTCGTTATTACTGTAAAACTGAAATAATATAATAGGCCTAATTCATTTTAGCAACTTACACTGGTAATCCTGCACTTAAAAAGAAGCGATTAAATTTATTTGAGCCATGAAAGAATTTCAGTGTTTTCTCTGTTTCTTTAAATTCTTTAACTTTCGGTTATTTATTTATTTTTTTTATTTTTTTTTTTATTTATTTTTTTTTGCAACATTCGCGTAATGGCAAAGCTATAACGCATTAAAAATTAAAACTTCAAATTATGAATTAAAATTAAAACTTGAATATAATTCTCAAATTATATTCCAAAAACAAATAATTCAGTATTATCGATTCCTACGTAAGAATCAATCAACGGTTTGGAATCTTAATAATTCATTCTATATTGCTGCGTCAGTTAAGTATCTCCAATTTTTCACAAAATTTCTTTTATCAATGCTCGTTCCACTCCTCAGCGTTACTACATATATCTGGCTAAATAAATTTCCTCTCCCCTGATTGAAATGAAGTGAAATTCTCGTATATGTTTCTCCTTAGTCATTGTAAAATTATTTAAAATTTGAATTTTTTAAAAAATTGAGAATTTTTCTGGTAAGATTCATTCAAAATTGCTGACCAAGCGTTAAAAATGAAAGCAAAACGTATCAAATAACCGACAGAATCAAAACATTCAATAAAGTAAAAATTAGTAATAATTTCATTCTTTAACATTGTTATCAATTTTTCTTTTTTATAAAATAATGATAAGCAGTTCTCATCGGATAAACTGGATGTTTTGTATAAAACTTTAATGAAAAGTTTCGAAGTGATTAAATGACAACATTTACATATTGCCAAAAGAAAAGTTTATTTTTATTATTTTGGTATTACTTAAACGGATTAATAATTCTAAACTGAAAAAACTGCCTTTTTTTTTTTTTTTTTTTTTTTTTTTTTTTTTTTTTTTGTTTCGTAGTTTAGACATAAGAAAATTTTAAAATGCATTTGGAAATAAAAGTGGCTTTCCCCGTTTCGAAGGGAAATTAAATTTTACTAATTTTCTCAAGTGTTTTGCTGATGATGTTTCATTTCTGTGTGAAAGAACAAATTCTTCTCACCATAATTCATAAAAATAATATTAAAAATAAGATAAATAAAGTAAGTTATTACATTTATTTTTAAAAATAAGAACTTCCTTTATCAAAACTTTTGCTGCTTTGAAATCAAAAGGTATTCAAATCTGATGATTTTCAGTTAAGGAACCCAATAAAAAATACTTAAGTTTATTTAAAACACAAAAAATGCATGCCAAACAATTTATAAAAAACTGAATGTTGTTAAACATACCATAGTTAATTACAAATAAGCTTTTCTGCAACGTATAAGAGGTTAACTGATAAGTTAAATAAACTTAAGAAATTGATTTTGGGTATAAAATAAGAATACCCCTTGTTGCAATATTGTTTTCTGTGTTTGTTTCATTTGTTTCATTGTTTTTCTCTGTAAAACAATAATCAGACTATATCTTATTGAGCTTCCACGTAAATAAACAAATATTAGATGCCAAAAGTAAGAGCTTTTGAAACATATCTACTTCTGTCCAAAAGAGAGAAAAAAATTTCAGCTGGCTGTTAGCTACATCCTTGGGACTTAATTGTATTCTTTTCATAGATAGATATATGATAATTTATCGTGAACCCATAAATAATAATCTAGTTGAATACTGAAGCAAAAGGGTTTGAAAGAAAAGAATTAAACTCATAACGCACAATGCTTCTAGTTACAATATGAGTTTTAAATGCACCAAAACCCGTTAATTATAATCCACTTGCACGCAATGCTGAACGCACTGTTTTAGAGTTTCAATGTTTCTTATGATTGAATGTATCTATTAACGTCATAAACAGCAAATAATAATTTCTACTTAAAATGGAGAAAAACAATTAATTCATTTTATTGATTATTTCCTAAATATAGCTCCCGAATTCCCATTCAGTAATCAATGAATTATTTTAAGGAAAGAAAAATTAGAATGTACAGGTTTTATTAGAAATAAGCATGTTTCATATAAAAAGTTTCTTATTTGATTTTAAATAATTATTATTTCGTACAGTCTATGTCTGACCATTCGGCTGTAGTCTTTGAAATTTTGGTTCATGAGTTTGAGCAGTTAAATTTACTCTTTAGTTTGAAAGAGTGAAAGAATATTTTTGATGAAGACTTCTTCACATAAAAGGAATATTACAACTACTTCAAATTACTAACGAGCAACTAAAACGACCTAATTTTATTTAAGAAATTTTGATAAAAGTGTGCTTATATTATAGTTTACTTCAATGAAATACAGGCGATCTTAGTTATAATGAGCATGGATATCATGAAATCGGGATTATCAGCAAGCAAAGACCTATAATGACTTTAATTTACACTCATTCTCAAATTACTGATCTTTTTTAGAACTATTACATGGAAATGCAGTAAAAGTTTTATAAATACGCAGTCATAATAATGAAAACTTTAAAAACCAAGAATCTGAAGTATAAAGAGCAAAATAAACAGCAAATTATTACTTTGTTTAACAGACCTGACAGTTTATCTTCTTTTTAGAACTTAAAGGGGTATTCCAATAAGAATGATATGATTTTAAAACGGAAATGGCAACCTATTTAAAATGTTATCAATGTCATTGATTTTTAGTATCAATGTCATTAATCTTTATTATGCTCTGACAATTTGTTATGGCTAAATAAACGCTCTAACAACGTAATTTTGGGCAAAAAATTATCTTCTCAAATGAAGTTCATTTCTGCTTGATTGAATGTATTAACAAGCAAAATGTCGTTTTTAGCGTGAAAACAATCCGGGAAAGATGCAAAAGAATCCCTTCCATTCGAAGAAGGTCACTATATAGTGATTCAAATGTTTGAAATATGGTTTATGGCACCGTGGCTTCATCAGACTATATACTCCTCCTCCCCCCCCCCTCTGGAGGTGATTGAGGAG